CAATACACTACAATTGGTAGAAGAAGTTTGTGCCAATTCGCGTTGAATTTCCAATATAAGAAAACGGTATAAAAAGAGTCAAAACAAACATAAACACAGAAGCACCAAATTTGTCATATTCTTCTCTTATGTCGACATGTACTCGAAATAAATAAACTCCAAATAGAAATGTAAGTATCGGATATAATAACAATAAAGATAATGGGCCACATTTAATAAAAATTGTTTTGTCTAAAGAAAGTGGATATAAAACACTTAATAACACAAGACATATTCCACATATAAAGTGCGATATGTGGTTTGTAAAGAACACCTTTATGACTGTTAACACTTCATTGCGAAAAACAGTTCTCCACTCGTAACCCAATGTAATGAGATGACTATTTGTATACAATTTGTTCGCGTTTTGAATCGACATTTTTTGGATGCATTGTGAACGTGTTAAAAAATCATTGTTACTAATCGAGGAATAAATTTCATTGTCTGTTTGTAGATGGCTGTATAACCGACAAGTCTCAGTGATATTGAGAAAAGTTTGCAAATCACATTTAGAACTTATTTTCTTCATGATATTAACTGGAAGAACAACACCCATTTGTTAATTATCATTATTAGTATTTATATATAAATTTTTTTTGAATTTAATAATATTACAATTGTTTTAATTTTTCATTGTTTTATTAAAAAAAACTATTATAATTTAATAATAATATAATTATTTATTTTTTTAAAATCAATATTTTAAATGTTTTTAAGATATTTAAAAAATTAAAAATATTTTTATTATCTTTATATCATTATATTATTATACTACAATTATAATATAATATATTCTTTAATAAATTGTTTAATTAAAATTACTTATTTATTACAAAACGAGTATATAATTGTTGTCTAATTAGTGATTGTGACGAAGTTCATCAATTCGAAAACAAACACATCACTTTATAATATAATTTGATTTATTTTGTGTTATATTATATTAAATAAATTAAGCAATTTAATATAATAAAATTTATATATATGTTTAATTTAAATTTAAGAGACAAGTTATTATCAAGTGTATTTATTAAACTTCACTCTATAATATTGAAACACTAACTTTGTTTTTAAAACATTAAATTTACTTCATTTAATATAAATATTTTATATATAATTTCAAAAACACTAAATGTTCTACATCAAATTTTGACATGATATTAATAATATCACATGTAAGTAGTCATTCGAATGATGGTATAAAAATTAAACAGTTCAATGATTGGCGCAAACAAAGGTTAAGGTAGAATCATTCTTATTACTGATGACGCCATCATGTCACAGGTTGGCTTGACAATCCATCAAGAAGCAACAACAAATGCAAATGTGATCATGTCTAGAAATATCACAGACTTCCAATTAAAGTGATTTCATATTAATGGTGTCAAATACATTATCACAAAAGCTTATAAAGATAAGTGAATTGTTTTATTAAAGGCTGGTGGAGCAGGTGTTTCGATTTACAAGTAAATCAAAATTATTTTTGATTGGATTCTTCAAAGACGAGTCTTATTTTTTGTCCGAACAAAACTCGACATCGTTTACAAGCTCAAAGATTTAATTTGACAATTAATGTATTTAAACAATTCATTTTTTATCACAGTTTTATTATATTGATCAGCATTAATATAAACAACAATTTAAATTCATAGATATTGTAAATAAAATATTAATATTCAATAAAAAATTCAATACATAAATATTAGTATAACATAAAAATATTTTTGGACTTATTTTTTTGGATATTATTTTGATTTATTAAAAAAATAAAAAATAAAAACGTGGAAGGTGGGAGTTGAACCCACAACTTTTTGTATTTTCACTTATAACATAAATCTAAAAGATTATTGTTAAATAAAACGTTTTACCAACTAAACTACCTCCACTTCTATAATATAGAAATTTTAGATGTGTCATTCATATTGTTCTATTTTCATTTTCAATGTAATTTTGTTGATATAATTCAATTACCATTAAAACAACATTTCAGTGATTCGTTCAACATTATTCAAGTAAAAAACATGTTGTCAATTTGTCATAAAAGTCAATGATATTGTCAATAACAATTTATTAATAAATTAAACAAAATATTGTCTTAATAATTGAACTATATCTTAGTGAAATAGTTTACTGTTATTAAATACCAACAGAAAATAGTCTTACACTTATGATTTTAGTATCAAACAAACCAATAAATCATGAATATTTTTTTCACATATAAAATTTGACTAAACAATCAGGAAAATAATTGGGTTTTGAAATAATAAAAACCCGACTTAATACAGAAAAATATTATAAAACAATGTGTACGACTATTTTCTGCTGTACGACAGTTTTATGCTGCTCTTTATATGAATTTTTTAATTAAAATTTAAATGATAAAAAAAACACAAAACACCAAATAGTGTTTAATTGTTAGTTCCTTTGTCCCCTTCTTAATTTTTGTGCAATCACAACAATGGCAATAATCATTGCAACACAACAAAACAGTGTGTAAAGTACAACACCTGCAAATATTGCGTACATTTCAACATTGTTACTGTACGTTCCCAAATCGTCCACTTTGACTTTACCATTTTCACTATACGAAGTATCACTGCTTTCTTGCACTGGTTTAATAGGTTCTGTGCAATTAGAATTCATGTTCTCAAAAATGCAATCAATCGAAGTGTTACTCATCACTTTCCCATTGATCTGAGTCTTTTTAAAATTGCACTTCTTGAATAAAATCACGCCACTTTTATTTAATATAAAGTTGGTGTTTTCAAAAGTTGTGTTTTCAAATGTAATTTTACCAAAATGAGTCTAGTTGAAAGAGCCATAACTGATTTTTGCTGAACTTACGGTCACACCTGTAAAATAATCATTTTCAAACGAAAAGAACATGAAATTGATATTTTCAAATAGAACATTATCGTAACGTGTTTTATTTGAAATGTAGCTATAGCCAGTAATACTCTTAAAAATGCTATTAGAAACTGTGTTGTGATCTAAAGTCAAATAGTTGACAGTGTGTGTATAAATCGTCTTTATTTGTGTGTTGTGTTGTACCCACAACTTTTTGTGTGTTTTGAACCACATTGATAGTTTCCAGTGTCGAATTTCTAATAGTGCACCAATTAATATATAACTTCAAAGGGTTCAAATTCAACATTTGTGTGGTATTGAACACAGTCATATACAAATCAGTTCCATAAAATTGTGACTGTGATCTTACATCCAATTTCAATAGAGTGAAGTTGCAATTCTTGAATGTCGTTTGGTATGAATAAAACTTGTCAACGACGTCATATCCAAAGACGGAATTTGCAATTGTCGAATAGTCCGCTATGATCGTTTTAAACGTAGTAAATATAAAATTCATGTTAGTCAGTTCCACTTTACGAATATTGAGATCTGTGGCGTAATCGGTTGTGTTAAAAACGCCATAAGGGGTTTGCGTGCACTCGTCAGTCGTGTCGTTAATTGGTATCGTGAAGTATATCGATTGATTTGTACATTCGTAAAGGAAATACTCTGAATGTGGTACGGGAAGATTTGTTTCCCAGTTGGCGAATGTGGTCATAAAGCATAAGCAGAAACATAGTATTAAGAATTTATTGAACATGATATTTTTGAGATGTTTTTGAAATGTTATATACAACAAATGACAAATAGAAATTAAAAATAGACCATATTTACATTTCAGAACTGAATTTTAATACAGTCAGTCCTGTTTTTTAAAAAAATAATCTATTATTTTTGTTATTCTGTTTTGTTTTTATAATTTTTGTTTTTCAATTGTCACAAAAAAATACAAATGTCAAATTAATAAAAATTTAAAATATTTTAATCGAAGTTGATTTATTACTTGTTTTTTTGATTATTTTCATGTGTTTTCATAATAATTCAAATGGTTTTATAGTTTAATTTCATTAAAATGTGGAAAACCAGTTTTGTTATTCAATGTTATCGTAAAAACCAATGAATTCTAAAAAACAATTATTCTAATTTTGTAAACTGTTATGTTATTGATTGTATTTGGGATTTTTGAAAAACATTTAAGTATGAATTTTATTTTCATGTTTTATAAACCAAATAATTTCACAATTTTGATATAAAATATTGTTGTGTAAGTGAAAAAAAATAAAAAAAAATAAAAACGTGGAAGGTGGGAGTTGAACCCACGACTTTTTGTATTTTCACTTATAACATAAATCAGAAAGATTTTTGTTAAATAAAACGTTTTACCAACTAAACTACCTCCACTTCTATAATAAAGAAAAC